CACTCTACCCAGGGGGATAGCTTGAGGCTCTGTCTCAAAAAAACAAAAAACAAAAAACAAAAAACAGAGATGTGAAGCCACAGCACTCTACCCAGGGGGATAGCTTGAGGCTCTGTCTCAGAAAAAAAGAACAAAAAAACAAAATATTCCTGCTCCAACTTACATACAAATTCTACAAACCTACAGAACCTATCTCATTTGTAACCCTGGGATGGCCCTTATTCTAGATTGAAGGAAACCCAAAAGAGACATGAAAAGTAAATGCAATGTGTGATCTTTCATTAGCTTCTGGATTGGAGAAACTGTATATAGGATATCATTATGACTGTAGATTTGGGGGAGTTGGAGCAGAAAGTTGAACTTCAGATCCTAAGTTTTTCCTTAAGTATCTTTTTGTTGTTGTTGTTGTTGTTTGTTTGTTTGGCTTTCTGGCCTTTTCCCATCCTGCTGGTTGCTCATAACCTTCCCACTGCCCTCTGGGCTCTGCTGTTGGCTGCCTGTGAACAGCTTCTTTCAGCGAGGGCTGTGGTGCAGTTGCCTTTCTCTTGGGGCTGCTCCTCAGTGACACAGGTGTGGTGCATGCCCTGCTGGGGCCAAGGTCTAGTCTTGGTAACCAAGACTAGTACTTCACTCTGTGCTTTGGGGATAATAGCCAATTTGATCTTGAAACCTTTTACTATTGGTAAGTTGATGTACTGTGCAAGGAAGACTTATTTAAAGTTAACTGTTAAAGTTAGTTGGCCTTATATAATGTAAAAGTAATGAAAATCCACTTTCTCAAAAGACAAAAACAAAAACCAATATATAAACACTTACACATTCATACGAATGATAAAACACAGATAGTCCAGAAGTAAAGAGGGGAGAGAAGAGAGAAGGGAGGGGAGGGTATTTGGTGGGATCTCACCTAATGTACACAATGCGAGGGTACACTTCAAAACAACTAAGTGTATATTATAAAGGTCTTACCCCCAAAATAAGTAAGTGAGGTGATGCTTATGTTAATTAGTTTGATTTAAACATTCCACATTGCACGGCAAATCATCACATTGTACCCCATAAATATATACAGTTATGATTTAATAAAAATTAAGTCAAATAAATAAATAAATAAATAACAAATACAAGACCAGTGTTCTGGCAATACTGTGAAATAGAGGGAACGTAGTGGGATGTGAGATCAGACATTTGGCCAGGGCTCTATCAGACAGAGCTTGAAGACCACAATAAGGAATTCAGGTTTTATTGTAAGTGACATGGAAGTTAAGTGAGAGTGTGGCATCATCAGATTTATATATTGAGATTTTATTGGTTGCTTTGTCAGGGGGCCAGGGTGGGAACAAAATTGTTCTTATTTATTCATATATTTATTTATTTTTATTTCCAGTTAATATAAGGGTAGAAATGATTAAATTATATATTTGCATTTGTTAGGTAAAGTTCAAGTTGTAGTTGAGCTCTTTATCCAGGAGGTGTGCCATATACCCTTACATTGTGCCCATTAGTTGAGAGCACACCAATGCCCCTCCCTCCTCTCTCCCCTTGAATGTAATTTTGTTTTTCTCTTGTGTGGGCATGTAGTTGTTTATCTATTTGTTTCATATTAGTATTGAGTACATTGGATACCTGCTTTTCCATTCTTGTGGAGAAGAAAGTGCTTCAACTCCATCCAAGTAAATACAAAAGATGTAAAGTCTACAGATTTTTTTGTGGCTGAATAGTATTCTATGGTATACATATACCACAGTTTATTAATCCATTCATGGGTCAATATGGGAAGTTGGGTTGATTCTACATCTCAGCAATTGTGAATTGGTTGCGATAAACATGTTAGTGCAGATGTCCTTATAGTTAAATGGTTTTTATTCTCCTGGGTAAATACCAAGATTAAATGGAAGATCTACATTTAGCTTTTTGAGGATTCTCCATACTTCTTCCCATAGAGGTTGTATTAGTTTACAATCCCCCCAACAGTGTAAAAGTATTCCCTTCTCTCCACATCCATGACAACATCTGCAGCTTTGGGACTTTGTGATATGGGCTAATCTTACTGGGGTTAGGTGAAATGTCAGGGTGGTTTTGATTTGCAATTTTCTGATGATTAGGGATGATGAGAATTTTTTCATTTGTTTGTTGGTCATTGTCTGCCTTCCTTAGAGAAGGTTCTGTTCAAGTCTCTTGCTCACTTATAAATGGGATTGTTAGCATTAATTAATTAATTTATTTATTTGAGACACAGTCTCACTGTATTTTATTTGCCAGGCTAGAGTACCATGGTGTCATAACTCACAGCAACCTCAGAATCCAGGTCTCACGGGATCCTCCTGCTTCAGCCTCCCAAGTAGCTGGGACTACAGGCACCACGCCTGGCTACTTTTTCTATTTTTAGTAGAGCCAGGGTCTCACTTTTGCTTAGGCTTGTCTTGAACCCCTGAGCTCAAGTGATTGTCCCACCTTGGCCTCCCAGAGTGCTGAGATTGCAGACATAAACCACCATACTGGCCAGCAAAATTCTTTTTAAAAAGCTCCCTAAGTGATTCCAATCAGCAGCCAGGGCTGGGAACCTAGGGGCAAAACGTAGCTAAAGTAATGAAAATAAAGTTATTTCATGGTGCACTAGCCAGGAAAAGTCACTTCCCACTTGGAAACAGACTTGAAACTGACACTACATTTTGCAGAGCTATAGATGGCAGGATTATGGCAGGGAAATGTCACCCAGTGAGCCTCAGGAAGCAGGAGCCCTTTTGTTGCCGTTTAACCACTTCTTTCCCAATATGGTGGCAACTTGCCTCCTTTCACACAAGCTACCTCAGGAGATCTTCAGAATTTCCTTGTCTCTGTCCTTGTAGGAGCAGACATCATGATAAGCCACACCTGTTCATGCTGCTCTTATTTCTCCAAGATTCTTGGTTATTCTCTGCAAATTCCCAGCATTTGGTGGACATTTCTACTGTAGGATTACCAGGGAATCCACAAAACCACACAAGGTTTCAGAGTTACCTTGAATTATACTTTTTGTGTATTCATATTCTCACTTTTCCAAACAACAGCCTGCTTTATAGGTGGGCTTGCCTCCAAAGTCCTAGAGTGATAAAGTGCCTTGTGTCTTAGACTCTCTTCCCTCTTCCCTCTCTCTTCTTCATCCACTCCTGCCAATCACTGGGCTACACTGAATTGCACACCGGACTCCAGCTTCCAAATGGCCCAACACAGAGATGCTATGCATTACCTAAATCAAAGCACTCCATTTAGCTGATATCTGCAAAGTGGATGAGAACATGCCAGATATAAGGCCTAGCTAGAACAAAGGCCTCCAAAGCAGGCAAGCAGGATGCTCTCAGTTCTATTTTACCTGCATAGCAACTAATAAGTGTTATCTTTCCTCTTTCAGGTTTTTCAGGGAAATCAAGACTCCTTCACACCTGTGGTGAACTCTCTAGACCCACCTCTACTGACCCGCTATATTAGAATTCACCCTCAGAGCTGGGTGAACCAGATTGCCCTGAGACTAGAGGTTCTGGGTTGTGAGGCGCAGCCACTCTACTGAGGGTCTCCAGTCTGTTCCTTAACTTGAGGGCAGCGTCCCTCTCAGGCTTGCCTTCTACTTTTGTGTCAGACCTTCAGGTTACTTCCAGCTCCACAGTGTCCAGGATACCATCTTTTTTTTTTTTTAATGTATTTAAATTATACAATGTTGCGAAACCTCCCAAGTTAATTGTCATTAATCCTGCGTTTCCTGAGGCTGTTGGAGCCAATTTAACTTAGCTCTTACCCATTTTTCTGCAGCTGCTCCCAGAATTGCTCCTTCATTCCAATGTAACTAAGCAAAAAGAAGTAAGTAGAAACCTGTATGGAGGGCATTCTGTATAAGTGCATGTGTGCATTTTTCTGACAAAAGTGCTCATAGATTTAGTCATATTTTTAAAGAGATGAACGGTCATAAAAGAATTCAATTAATCTCAGAAGGATGTAGAAATAAAGCCAACAAAATATAAGTTAGCTTTACAGAATTACTGGGAATCTTGAAGGAAAACAACAACGGCCTCTTAAAATCTGTGATATACAAGAAAGGAGATGAAGATAATAAGCTTCTAAAAGACATATATTTAATATTTCTGTGGAAAAAATGAGAAAAATCCATGGCTGTCTGGAATAGAAGACACAAACTTTGTAATTCTAGCCATGTACTCATTCAGCTCTCTCTCACACCTAATTTCCTGCTGAAACAATACATCAAAAAAAGTTAACAGGAGTCAAGAGAAAACTGAACTGGTGAAAACAGAGAAAACAATCCATGTCCACTCTGTAAGAGCAACCCTACCACGTCCCACTACCCGCAAGGCTGTGAAGGGTTTGCTGCTCTTTCTGTCTGCCCGGCCTCTTGACTACAAGTACACAAAAAGGGAAGATAATGGCTGCTTTATTTTACATGCTAGGGCATTTTCTAATAAGCCTGCTTGCCCTTCATTTGACCTCTTTGTGGACTATACCATAGCTGTCACAGTATAGTCACAATCCATAACTGATGGAGTGCAAATGGCGTCTAGCCCTGTAAGGGTCTGTAAGGCTACAAGATGACCTACAGGAATCAATAAGATGTTTTGTTTTATAGCCTAGTAGAGAAGTTAACCCCAAAGGTGATATGGTTTTATTTCCTGTAAAAGGTTAACCAAATTTATGTCTAACTTAATACTAATTGTGGCATTATTTTCCTATTGAGTATACAGATCTATTTCTGAAATGTTCAGGGAATGAGCTCTTTTGTCCTCCTGCTGGTTTCTTAAGTGATGAGTTAAATAAAACATTGACACATACAAACAAATGTTTTTGAGAATTGTGTTTTCACACTGGAAATAAAAATGTGAACAATGATGTTTTAAAAATAAATAGAGGCACTGAATGTCAGCATAGACACTTTAGAGAACTAAATCAGTGAGTTATCACGTTGAACTCAGAATAAAAAAAAATTCATGAGAGGCAAAATAAAATAAAAGAAATATGAAATGGAGTCTCAATCTGAGAGAAAAAGTTACAGAGAGAGAAGGACTGAGAAAGAGAGAGGGAGTTGCTCTTCAATGGAAAGTTTTTTTCCTTTCTTAAAATATGTATACTTTTTTTTGGCATCTTCTGTATACTTGCACTTGATTTATGACAAAGTTTCTCTCCAAACTAGTGCTGCTTGGTTAGTCAGACACACATATGACAAAGTGAAATTTGACCTCTTCCTTACACTACACAAAAATAATGAATTCCCGATGAATTAAACTTCTATGAATGGCAAAAATTTAAACTTCTAGGACATTAGTGTAAGGGTTAACAGAAATATTAAACTACATCATAAGAGGAAGTGCTAGCCTAATTCAACCCCCACGTGAAAAGGCCGAATAAAGAGACCAGTGCTGGTAAGTAAACAGGATAGAAGTAGCTACATTGTATAAGACTGAGACAGAAAACACAGAGCACAGCGCAGGGCCCCTCCCGTCAGAACAGCATAACCACTCCCCCTGTACTAACCCTATATAAGATTGTATCGATCCCAAATAAACAGCTTCGGCTCAGCCTTCTCCCTATACTGTATGAGTGGTTGTGTGATTGTGTCCACCCTTTCCTTCTCCCTCTCATAGGCCGATCACGAACTCCCCAACACCGCCTGCTGGTCGGGCAGTGTCACATTAGTAGTCTTGGGTCAGGGACAGCTTTCTTAAACCAAACCCTAAAACCTGTAACCATCATGGAAAAAGATGGATCAGTTCAGCTAGATTTACATTCAGATCTTCTGTTCATCCATAGAGTGAGAGAAAATATTTATAATATGTATGATCAACAAACAGATGTGGAACAAGTACAACCCTCTTATGCTGTTGGTAATAAAATTTTACATATAGTACAGCTCGAGTGTCCCTTATCCTATCACATAGGAGCACACATGTTTGAGATTTTAGATTTGTTTGGATTTGAAATATTTGCACACATATAATGAGATATCTTGGGGATGGGACCAAAGTCTAAACACAGAATTCAGTTACGTTTTATATGTGCCTTATACCATAGCCTGAAGGTAATTTTACACAATGTTTTTAATAATTTTGTGCATGAGACAAGGTTTGTGTGTACTGAACAAGCAAACGTGTCAGGTGTGCAATTTCCCACTTGTGGTGTCACGTCAGCCCTCAAAAAGTTCGAGAAAGCCGGACATTTACCAGTTGGTTGAGTTCAAAAAAACAAAACAGGTTCAGCGCCCTTTGCTCAGTGGTTAGGGTGCTGGCCACGTACACCAGGTCTGGTGGGTTCCAGACCAGCCCGGGCCTGCTAAACAACGATGACAACTCAACAAAAAAATAGCTGAGCATTGTGGCAGGCGCCTATAGTCCCTTATAGTCCCAGCTACTTGGGAGGCTGAAGCAAGAGAATTGCTTGAGCCCCAGAGTTGGAGGTTGCTGTGAGCTGTGATGCCACGTACTCTACAGAGGGTGACATAGTGAGACTCTGTCTAAAAAAGAGAGAGAGAGAGAGAAAGAAAGCTGGGCATGGTGGCATGAAACTTTAGTCCTAGCTACTCAGGAAGCTGAGGTGGGAGGATTGTTTGAGCCATGGAGTTTGAGTCTAGCCTAAGTGACATAGACAGATCACCATCTCTTCATAAAAAAGAAGCTGAAAATATATTCTGATCAGTTAAGGTTGCACAGTAAATAAAAAATAACTGAATAAAAAAGAAAATAATTCTGGGTTTCTGATTTGGGGATTAGGGATGTTTAACCTATATATAATTTTATATGTATATATATCACACAACCACTTGAGGGCAAGTGGATGGCTAATACAGAGAAGTAACAGGAATAAAAAAGTTTACAGTTCTTTGGTAATTTGTGTTTCTCAGAGCAACATTGCCTTCTTGGAGCTGTCCCCCATTTACTCTGCCACATAATAAGCATGCTTATACTCCCTTTGAGTCTCACTGAACTCTCATGCATAGTGGATCCACTGGAATTTTGTGCTTGTGAGCATTGTAAACACTATGTGCAAACAGAGTGACAAGGATGGAGGGTACCTATAGATTGCACTCATTTCCTCTATTCATGTGCAGGATCCTGAAAACTTCACTTAAACAAAGTTCAAAGATAAAATTATTAAGCATTTCAAGACAGTGACATCAGAACATTAAATCAAACAAGGCATTTCAGGGCATGGAGCCCTGTGTAACTGCACATATTGAATTCCCATGAAGCCAGTCCTGAATCCTAGACAACCTGGGACCTTTGTTTATCTGAACAACAGCCACCTGAGTGCACCATCTGGGGACCACTTCCACTGTTTTCTTCCAGGTCAAGTCTTTTTTTTTTTTTTTTTTTGAGACGAAGCCTCAAGCTATCCCCCTGGGTAGAGTGCCATGGCATCACGCTCACAGCAACCTCCAACTCCTGGGCTCAAGCGAGTCTCCTGCCTCAGCCTCCCAAGTAGCTGGGACTACAGGCGCCCGCCACAACACCTGGCCATTTTTTGGTTGCAGCCATCATTGTTGTTTGGCGGGCCCGGGCTGGGGATTCGAACCCGCCACCTTAGGTGTATGTGGCTGGCGCCTTAGCCCCTTGAGCCACAGGCGCCAAGCCCAGGTCAAGTCTTTAGATGACTGCAGCCCCAGTTGACATGTGAGTGCAGCCCCATCACATACCTGAAAGAAGAACCACTCAGGTAAGCCACTTTAAAATTCCTGACCTACAGAAACTATAAGATAATAAATGTTTATGTTTGCAGCTGCTAGGTTGGGAGCAATTTTTCATGCAGTCACAGATTACTTATCAGCAGCCATATTGTTTTTACACTGGCAAAGTCAGAGCAGGCATACAATGTTAATTTGTAGCTTACACACATTGTCAATATCTGTTGGCTTATTTTGGGAGTACAGGGCAGCAACCAAAGTTTGCAGGTCTTGCAACTCCTGCTGGACCTTTTAGCTCCTTCAAATCCTAGAAAAGTTGTGCATTTAGCTCTTTTCATATCACTTCTCATGCAGATTACACCAGCAACTAAGTTGGAAGCTTGGATATAGTAAGAGACAAAGGTTTTAGTCTTTAGGGCTCCACCTTCCCATAGACTGTTTAAGCAATTCTCACACTAGCATAAAGTCAAATCCTTATAATACATCTGTTTTGTTCTGCCATGTTAATGGCTGGAGGCACCCCAAAAGCAGTGGCAGGGGAATTTACGCAAGGGAGTACCCCAAACCCTCCTATGGTGGAGCTGGTTGGGATCCCAAGGAAAGAAGCACTAAACACCAAGGTGATCATTGCAAAGCATCCATAGGGGAATTTACATACAGAGTAGGCTTCAGTGTATCCTCAGGCAGACAGCAAGGGAAAATGGTATATCCCCCCCCTCTCCGCCCCGGGTACATCTACAGCCAGAAGTTCCGGGTATGGAGTTTTTATGAGAGTTTAAGGAATTTGGCTCAAGGCTGAGCCTGGTTTCTTTCAGGATTTTGGGCAACAAGCTTGATACCTTTATCAGTGCCTGGCAATGTCCAAGGCCTCAGTTGGGGTCGTCTAAGCCTGCTGTGTACAACTCACAGCTGGCTGAGGTCACAGAGTGGTCAAAGCGTTCCAATTTTCAGTCAGTACACAGAAAGAATGTGGGGGCACTGGAGACTACAAAATCCATTATTTTATATATTTCCTGGTGCCTCTGTTTTCTCATAGAACTTTAACTCATACATCGTTTTTTCTTACCACAACTTAAAAAAAAAATTAGCTTCTGAGAGTTATTTGTATATTAACAACCTTAATCTAGTGTCTGCCATATATGCTGTAAATTTCATTATTTAATTTGTCACTAATCTTTTATCTGTTTTACCAATGTTTTGTTATATGCAAGCTTTACATTTTTATGCCATTTATCAGTATTTTCATTTATGGCTCTGGATTTTATGACACACTTAAAGTAGTTTTCTCCACATCAAGATTATTAAAATGTCCACTCATATTTTTTTTGAGACAGAGTCTCACTCTGTCACTCTGGGTAGAGTGCTATGGCGTCACAACTCACAGCAACCTCATACTCTTGGACATAAGTGATTCTCTTGCCTCAGCCTCCTGAGTAGTAGCTGGGATGACAGGCACCCATCACAACCAGCTAGTTTTTTAGACATGGGGTCTTGCTCTTGCTCAGGCTGGTCTCAAACTCGTGAGCCCAAACAATCCACCCACCTCGGCCTTCCAGAGTGCTAGGATTACAGGTGTGAGCCACGTGCCTGGCCCACTTATATTTAATATATGGTTTTATTTTTGTTTAGTCCTTGTTGATATATCTAGAAGTTATTTTTGCATAGTGTGGCAAAGGACTCTCACTTGGGTGCATATAAATGAATAGGCAATCACCCCAACATCATATTAAATGATCTCTTTTCCCCCACCACTGATATGAAATGCTACCTTTATCACCTATTACGTTCTATATATACACTATTATAAGGTATAGTAGGCTTGGCTCCTGTAGCTCAAGCGGCTAGGGCACCAGCCACATACACCCCAGCTGGTGGGTTCAAATCCAGCCCAAGCCTGCCAAACAACAATGACAACTACAACCAAAGGATAGCTCGGTGTTGTGGCAGGCACCTGTAGTCCCAGCTGCTTAGGAGGCTGAGACAAGAGAATCACTTAAGCCCAGGAGTTGGAGGTTGCTGTGAGCTGTGATGCCATGGCATTCTACCCAGGGTGACAGCTTGAGATTCTGTCTCAAAAAGAAAAAAAATTATAAGGTATAGTAGAAACTATGTGGTGAATAAAATATCTTAGAATTCTTTAAGCCTACTAGGGTACAACTACTGTAAGAATGAGTTTTAGGGCTCGGCGCCTATAGCTCAACCGGCTAA